GGTGGGTGGGTTGCGAGGTTAATGGGGCCAGAGAGAAAAAAGGACTCTCAGCGTATTTCTAGTCGCTAGATATTGTTTTTGGAAGGTGGTATAATTTGTAATAACTGTATTGAATTTTGAAGGACATAACTGAGTTGACTCAATTGCATATCTTTTTCAGGTTCTTGACCTCAATGTGGATCTAAGTGCTGCTAGTGCCGCCGAAGAATGAGAAATTCCTTACTGCTATACTTGCACACTATGTGATGCTGAATCCTTTATGTGTCAACGAGATTCTCATGCTTTTGCTGTAGAAGTGGATTAATTTATAATGGGTTCTCTGTTATAACTATTGTTAAAATGTTCTTTTCTTTCTTTTGAACAAACTTATGTAATGTTGAAATTAATCACGGTTCTTCAACTTGGAGGTGGACGTAGAGTTCAGATGTTTAAAGTTGTTTTTGACTTCTGGCTCCTTGAAGTTCTGGAATTTCTCTGAGTTGCTATAGTTTTCTGATTCAAAGTGCACCTTTTTGTTTTCTTATGGGGTTTAATGTTGCGGTAACTCATTATCTACTTTTCGTGTTGCCCACAACAGATTGTACTAACAGTTATAAACCCAAAAATGTAAACGAGAGTGAAATTGTCCTTTACCCATTGTTAATGCCCAATAATGTCGGTCGCTTTCTTGTGATTGATATAGCGGTTTTAGTTTATACAATAAACTAATTAGAGGCTCAATGTTTAGTATCTAGAGCTCTAGAAGTGTATTAGTTCCTTTTTTGGTCTAAATGGATATTCGGAGTAGGAAATACACATTAGCATGGGAACAAAATGTTTAGTGGTAAATCGTTAAACGTTAATACTGGTTTGCAGAAGCAATGCAGGCTTTTGCCTTAACGACCAATCGGGACGTGGAGTTTGAAGGTCACTATTCATTATCTTTATTTTCCTATAATTCAACGGCAATGCGTCTGCTTGTTTGTGGTGCAGAACATAGCAAGGCATGGAATAATAATCCATATCTTGAGAACCAACAACAACCCAGTAATAATCCCACTAGTGGGGTTTGGGGAGGGTAGAGTGTACGCAGACCTTATCCCTACCCCTAAGGGTAGAGAGATTGTTTTCGGGTGACCCTCGGCTCATATCTTGAGAACCATAATACAAAAAAAACTAGAAATTAAAAGCATTGAAACATGCATCAAATAATTCAATTGATTAGGAAAATTATTCAAAACGTCTCTGATCATTCTTTTCTCTTTCTTGGGTAGGTATATGTTTACCCTCTACTGTAAAAGTTCCTCATTTTTACAAGGCTTTTTTACAATTTTAACAGCTTTGAAAGATGGGAGAAATGTTAGCTTATTTTACTTTTGAGTTGAGTTGGTTGGTCGCGGGCCGAATTTCCCCGGCATCGCCTTCTTCCATTGCAGATTCTTGTATTTCTACTTGTGATAACTGCACAGCCATAGGAGAAGGAGATGATTCTTTATGTCCAACTTGGCTGGAGCCATTGGCAGCTCTTCTTTTAGCCTTCTTAGCCCAGAAAACAAGCCCGTCTTGTATATGTTCGTCGAATATTTCTTTCTTGAAGGAACTTCCCATCTGCATTCATGCATCAATAGTATATTAGGAGAATTTATAAGTAAAAAATTCAGACAAACCAAATAGTAAATATATGGTCGAGGATCGATCACCTGTGTGACAATTGCATACAGCGGCAGAGTACTATAACTGCAAAGGAATTGAACAAACATCCTGCAATAGGACACAATTCAACCTTTACTTCCAAATGCTGCATAGCTAGTGTTGGTTCATACTCTTTTGGAGGTTAATCTTTACATTGATGTTAAATCATCACTTCTTTTTAATCAATAAATAAAATAAAAAATTTTAGCCGCTCCGAAAAATAATTGCTGACAAAATATATATTTTTGCTAGCAAATGCAATTAGTTTCCGCCAACCAGCCAAGTTTGTATTTTGCCCAATAACTATAGTGTAGTTGGTCTGGATGCTTTAATGGTAAGACATCTTGGACTCAGATAGATGTGAATGGTAAGCTAGGTAAAGCTTTACCAGCACCTGGTGTTTGCACCAAACAAATGAATGCATGACATGCGTCCTGATCATATAAGCTTTTTTGCGCTTAACCGCTTAGATGATATGTATTCTCTTAACCGCATAGATGATATGATTCTCCCTTTATTTTGTGACTCTCATGTTTAAATTTTCCTCTGCTAGATGAGAAAGGAGGAGGAACTTACCCTATGACAAGTCTTGGGATGATATAACCAACTTGTCCCATAATGCAGGAGTTAAAATGATATTGAGCCTGTCAATGAAAAGAACGCGAAATTCTCAATTATTAAAAAAAAAAAGGAATATAGAAAACACCTAAAGCAATTGTTACGTTAAGAGTTTAATGTTATGGTGTTAAGATTACCCAAATCCAGAAGAAAAATGCAATCTCAAAGGAGTTCTGGAAAAGGATGATATGAATGAGGAGTAGGACGATTCGCGGCCTATGAAACCAGAAGTGGTCATCTGATGGCTTCACAACCAAATCTCCTTCAACCGCTATATGCTTTGCTGCAACCTCTCCAGCAAGTTGAGTTATCACATGCTCTAGTTTAGTCCCCACAGCTAGCAAAAGCTGCATAATACACGTATAATATTTCTATCTTTTAGGATTTTCTGAGGAGAAGGATATCGAAAGCAACATCTTTTGAACAATTGAATCTGAGGACTATTCATATTCTAAGAATGGTGACCAGTAACTGCGATTTTTAAAGCTATATATATATTGCCATGAAATATGAGCGGAGTCCTACTATATGGTTAATACTAAGAGTTTATTTCACAAATTTCTTGTCCTTCTATTAACTTTTGAACATTGGACAGATTGTAAAGTGAGAAAGAGATTAAACAAATGAATCCAGTACAGTCAGACGTCTCTATAACAGCATCCATATATAACAACACTTCACTATAAAAGCCAAACTTTTTCGGAACCAATGTTCATGTTATGTTATAATATATGTTCTCTATAACAACACTTCGCTATAACAGCCAAAAATATTCGGAACAAACGAGGCTGTTATAGAGAGGTTTGGCTGTAGTTCAAAGGGGTACTGAGAAAGATTAGTAGTTTTTAATACTGCTAGAAATTACTTACACCAAAGGGAACAAATGCTATCCAAAAGTAAGCGTGCCAGCCTGAAAATAGAAAGTGAGAGAGAATAAGAAAGAGATAGATGGGAGAAAAGAGGGAGTGATAATTCAAACATAAGCTGTTGTTCTTGGCTAAAAATTAGATGCACTTATGATAATAAAGAAAAAGGGATGAAACAGTGAATGACATAGCTCACCATGAACATTTAGCAATAGGAACAAGACCACAAATACCCACAGATACCAGCTGCACAAACAAATGCAAATTTTCAGTTGAAAATTAAAAGGAACTAAGAGCTTGTTTGACGTAGCTGATTAAAAGTAGCTAATAAGCTGAAGTACTGAAAAGCAATTTCAAGTGCTGACGCTATATATAAAAAAGCAGTTACGTGTTTGGATAGAAGTACAGAACCCGACAATAAGTTAAGTAAATGAAATGTTGGTCATTGAGGAAAACACACGGGTAACCTCGAAGAGGAGCTTTCAAGTCGCCAATACAAAAGATGGGAAACTTTTACTTGATTATGAAAATTATGTTATATATTTCAAAATCTGTGATCAATAGCATCAGATTGACTAATACATGCTTCCTTGTTTTCTTTCCATTTTGTTCACTTGTGTAACTCACCTAATCCCAACAACTTTCTTGAAATCAGCTTCAAGAACACGTATCATATACTTATGAAAATTGAACTTCGGGCTCCCCTTGCAATGAGTCTGAGGTAGCAAGTTCAGCAAAAGTTGAGCGTCACGAAATAAGCAAACGTACTAAAACCAGTATAATGTGTGGTTAATGTAAACGTACCATAATGAAGCCGAGCCTCAAAGTTGTATAGTCTGATTTTGTGACAGATCCAAAAAATTGCTTGACGAAAGAATGCTGAGAATCAAGATCCAAAATAGAAATCTGTTAAAACAGACCTAAAATATTGACAATGTACAGAAGCAGAATCTGAAATATGCAGCTTGCTGAAATACACAACTGGTCATGTTCCTGAGTTGGTGATATACTAAAGGCATTTAATTTATATACACTAACGGTGTAAAATATTTTTAGACAATCACCATAATTTAACCTGTTGTAGAAAAGTAAGAATTTGCCTTTGCTTCATACCAACTAGTAATGCGTGGTCTTGGTTACCTCCAAAAATAAGAATGTTTCTGTCCACAAGTAGTTTAACTACCATACTTGAGTAATAAGACATTGAATATACACACAGACACATACACATCATCACCACATATATATATAGAATTGAAAATAAGCATAAAAGAAAGAAGACTTCTCCACTTACCAGCCAACTTAATAAAGTTGATCTTTTACCAAAACCTAGAAATCGGCCCTTGACAAAATCATGATCTTGGACATGTGTAACTTTAGAGCGAATTACTGCATTCACAATATATCCTCATTAGAATGATGGAAAGAGAAGTTACTCTAGGCTGATATTGTTTCATTGTGATGAATACACTATTAGCGCAATTTAATTGGTCGTAACAAGTTGTTGCTATATTTTCCTGGTTATCGTATCAGGCTTGCTACGAATAGTCAACTGTTGTCGTAGGTGGACTTAACGTGATGGTGTTAAAAATCAATATACTATCAATGCATAGAACTTAAACTCGTGAGTTGTGAGTACTTATGCAAACTTTGTATCCAGTTTAGTTCAAAGGGAACTATACTAATAAGAAGTAATCAGCGACAAAGAAGAGACATGTAAAATTCAGCAGTCAAGGGACATTACCTTCTTCTGGATCATATTCCTCTTTCTGGATAGAATCCTCCCAAGATTTCCACTGACGTATCTGTTTAATTAGAGCAAAGGTCATTTGTATAAATAAAAAAACAAATGGAGAGGATGTAACTAAGCTGCATATTAAATTCAGAAAACAAAAGCAAGATGAATGAAAATTTACCTTTATACCACCAAATAAAATTGTAAGAGCTGAGAAAGTAACATGTGAAACAGCCAGCACAAATATAAATGTATGAAGATGATGTAATGCTGTGAGAGATAGCAATGGTGCCTTGTCCTGTTAAGTTTCAAAAAAAGAAAGAGTTAGAAATTCAGAGAATATCATCCTGAAAAATGACACATGAAGGGCATATGATCAGAAACATCAGTATGTGGACTAAATGTGTTTTGACAGAATCCAATTGCAAGAAATTTATATTAATCTTGATTGGCTGATTATTTTCCCCTTAATTTGCTTTCTTTTTTCCCCCCACTATTGGGGTGTTATGGAACGAAAACAAGGTTCAAGTTAAATGTTGTGTTTATATTATAGTAGTTTTTTTGGAAAACATGGAAAACTCCTAAGATCTGTTTGGAGAAAAGGTAATTTTTTTTTTCGGTTTAAAATATCAAATAAACACAAAATCAAAGCTCAACAAGTATTTTTTGGCCAAAAACCTTTTCACTTTGTTTTCCTTCCAAACATGAAAGAATTGGTCGAAGGGAAGTCTTGGTGCAACCAGTAAGAGTTGCCATCCTGTGACCTCTACCTCACAGGTTCAAACTGTGAAAACAGTCTTTAGCGGAAATGGCAAGACTGCATACAATGGACACCAATGTGATCTGGCTCTTTCTCTAAACTCCGCGCATAGCATCAAGAGTACTAATTATACATACCTTAGCCTCACAATAACCAGAATTAGCAGATTCAGCGAGCAGGCGCCTTCCTCCTGGAATTAAAGAGAAGAAATTTCCAGAGGAGGTCTGAAAGTGGACAGTTCCATTGGCATCTTCATCCTTTTTACAAGGCAGCCAACTATTGGTCAAGTGCTTAGGAATACATATTTTAACCATTCTGTCTTGGAAAACAGTCAAAAGCAGAGATATGAATCCCAACAGCATCAACTCTGCATCATTTGATCATCTTTTTAGAATAGGCACTAATCAGATATCTTAACTTTGACCAAGTAAAAGAGAGGTAACAACAACAACAACAACCGAGTGGATTCCCACAAGTGGGGTCCAGGGAGGGTAGGATGTCCGCAGCCTTACCCCTACCCTGGGAGGTCAGAGAGACTGTATCCGACAGCTAAAGAAGTAAAAGAGAGGTAACGAAGAGAAATTGAAGTAAATTATGTACCTTCTTTGATCTTTTGTAAGGCTTCATAAAGTGGCTTCTGGTTTTTCTTAAGCAAATACTGTTAGACAAATCACAATTGGAACTCATATTATTAAAGAGACATGACACATATTATTAGTTAGAAGTACTAAGGCTAAAATCAAGAAAACTTTGTGCTGCAAACTACTACTGGAAACTGAGTTGACAGTCAGCGTAAAAGGGCAGTTCGGTGCATAAAGCATTCCGTATTCATGTAGAGTCCGGAAAAGGGCAGCACCCTAAGGGGGTGTGATATAGGTAGATGATTCCACAGCTCGAACCCGTGATCTATAGGTCACACGGAGACAACTTGACTATTGCTCCAAGGCTCCCCTTCAACTTGACAGTCAGCGTAAAACTAGTCAATTTAAAGAAGTTGGATTAACCATCACCTTGCCAGCATAATGAATGATTCTTTCAACAACAAGAGAGATAGCAACTATGAAAGTGCAGACCAAGGCAACAATCCATGTTGGTGTAAATTCCAAATTTGTTTCTTGGTCTCCTCCACCTCCTGCCATCTTTTATTTGTTCTTCTTAAAACTCCTGCAACTCAAATATTTAAGACAACATAAATATAGGATTATGAATATTTGATTAGGGTGACAAATACTATGTTTTGTTGATTGCAGGAGATTTCAAAGTGGAAGTTATAGAGGAAGAATGAATGAAATGGTCAGAAGAAGAATGCCACCTTGTGTTCATGGGTCCCATGCATTGACCTACTATGTTTAATTTAGTTTATTGATGATATGTTATTAAAGAAACAAAACTTAGGTGTTAAGCGTTAAGACACTTCCTCAACTACTATGTTATTCACATGCATATTGAAAAGAATTTTTTTTTCCTCAAGTTGAAAATTTTGAAGTGAAGATAAACCTATATAACAAACTTGTTTCACCAATAAATGCAAAAATTCCTAATAGTTGTAGAAAAGGTGAGTATTTAGCTATTTTGGCATCAAATTAATTGATTATCTAAATGGATTTTTGACATTACATTTGAAAGTTAACAAATTACTCCCTCGTCCAAGTTTACTTGTCCACTATTGAGTTAGCACACCTGACACCCCTTACAACAACAACAACAACATACCCAGTAAAATCCCACTAGTGGGGTCTGGGGAGAGTAGAGTGTACGCAGACCTGACACCCCTTAAGAAATAATAAATAACATTATAGTTTTACTATATCACCTCTTTATTATATGTTAGTAGAAAATGAACTGAAAATAAGATGTGGTTAATAAGAAGGGTAAAATAGATATAAAATAGTGATTAATCAATGATTTTCTTAATTGAACAAGTAAAAGAATTTATCTATTTTTAGTATAGTAGTGGACAAGAAAACATGGAAGGAAGAAATAATTGCATTTTGACGAGAAATTTTAAATATTAAATAGGCTGACTTGAACCTTGGGTATGATTTCTCCCTCTTCTTATGCAATAGATGTTTAAAAAAAAGCTTAAAACCATCATGTCACTCAAAAAGCAATTACAAGTATGGTACAAATCTTATATAAAAAGTCAAAATACACTAATAGTATATAAAATTATTTAAACGTGGTCAGTACATATAATTTAAAGCCATGTTTTTGATAAAAAGGAGATTGATTTATCCTTCGATGATGCAACCTATAAACGCGTTCCGATAGACTATGGGGTATTCGGTAGGGGAAGTCAAGTTTTCCAAGTATTAAAGAACAAAAACAGTTGGATCATTAGTTGTGAAATGAAGATATCTTTGCGTCCAAGGGGTAGTTTGATGGTTAATGACGTGGGTGAAAATTATAGAAGATCATAGTTAAAAAATTAGGTCATTTATGCATAAGTTTTGGTGAGTAGAGTTACACAGTATTTATACTGGTGGTAGATAAATGTATTAAGATGTACACAAGTTGATTCAGACACTAATACACTATCATAAACGGCTAAGTTCCAAACAAGTTGGAGTTGGCTATATGAATCCTTAATGTCGCTCCATTTAATCTCATTTCACACAAATATTATTTGGTTCGAACACTGATAATAGGCTATATAGTTGTTATTTACGCCATCATTACCCATGCTTTGTTGTTGTGTTGTAAGGTAAGTTGCCAATAAAATGCTTTAATTGATGCTATTTGGTTTCGCAGGGAATACAAGATGTGAGGAAGCAAAAATGAAGTGTTTGGAGGCAAAAACGTGAAGAAATCACCCATTCAAGAAGNATGTGTTTAAAAAAAAAACAGCGCCCTCCGCGACCGCGGTCCCAAACCGCGGTCCAGACCACGAAAATCACTGGAGAAGCAAAATTCACCGCAGCCGCGGCGTCGACCGCGGGACTTCTCTCCCAAACCGCGGCGCGCACCGCGGATGCGACCGCGGTCGGGGCACCAGGTTTTAAATTTTTTTAATTTTTTTTAATTTTTTCGACTTTCTTCACTCTTCTTTTTTTATTTTAAAAAAAAAACAAAAATCCCCCTCCTAAAACAATCAAAACACACGAACTTCCCCTCCCAAAATCCCCAATCTCTCTCTAACTCTAAACCCTAACTCCCCATCCTCCATTCTCATCTTCCCCCTCTTCCTCCTTCACAAGAGCATCATCTTCTTCCCCCCAAGGTTTGATTCCTACCCCCCCTTCTTTTTTCTTTCTATTTTGTTGTGTTGTATGCTAATGTATGTTGTTTTAATGTAGTGTAGTTATATACTCTTGTTCTTGTTTAGTTTTTCTTCTTATTTTAGAGGGGAATTTCGTTTTGAGCACTTGTTTGGTGAAGGGGCTGTGTTGTTAATGTTTGGAATGGTGTTGTTGGTGGGTGATGGCTTTGACCAAGTGTGGGGTGTGTAGGTGTTTGAATAATTGAAGTGGGAAAGTTGTTCTTGATCCCCTTGGGCTATGAATATGAAAAAATAATGTCTTGCCCACAATGTGTTTATGAAATTGCCTCAATGGTGGAGATATAAAGGGATGTTGTGACATGGTTGTGGTGAAGTCTGAGTAACCACCCATAGTCACCATTTTAGGCTCATACTAATACGCATTTCTCCGTTTTGACAGGTAATATGAGTTCTTCACGTAAGAGACGGAACACCGGGTCCTCTGTTAAGGGCCCATGAGGCTCTTCATGAGCTAGGGGCCAATCCAGTGCACAAGATTTTGATAGCACTCGGTTCGTCTCTAAAGCAGCTGAGACAAGGTACACTCAAAAGCTGACCAAGAAGTTACAACATGAAGTTCATATCGATAGGAATGCCTTGATGAGGGAATGCCCCTCTATGTTTGAGGAGCTACGGAGGTGTCAGCTGGACATCTTCTTTGAGTCTCCCGAGGAAGCTAATATTCAGCTAGTGAGGGAGTTCTACGCAAACCTGCCAGAACATGAGGACGGGGTGGTGACTGTGCGTAACACTAGGGTTAGTGCTTCTTCAGAGGTCATCCGCAGGGTGTATCGCCTCCCCGCTTTCACAGGTATGGATCACTACCTCATAGCCAGTCGCCCGACGGTTGATTGGGACAGACTTCTGGGAGTCATTGGTATACCTGGCAAACAACCCAAATGGATTGCACAACCGACGACTCTGCATTCTAAGTCTCTTTCTTGGGTGGCCAAATGTTGGCTCACGGTCATCAACACTCGGTTGTTACCTTCCAGCAATACCACCGATGTAAATGGGCCACGGGCGGCTATGATATATTGCTTCATGACTCATCAAGGGTTTGAAGTCACCCGAGTCCTTTCTGAAGAGATGTTCATCCGATCGCCCGAACTAGGCAAAGGCCATTACTTCCCTTCTCTTGTCACCCGTCTCTGCCGCCTTGCCAATGTCCCTGAGAACTCTCAAATTGATGGGAAATTACCTATAAAAACACCTTTTCGGGCAGAAAGACAAGTGAAGTCAGAAAAGAAGTTCATGGGATGGTTGAGAGCTCTGGGCCGCGCCTGCAGCGTGAACCCAGACACTGTTTCAGATCAAGAGTGACCCCTCAGGGAAGTTCCTTTACCTCACTGATTTTATATTGTTAAGCCATGGGGACATGTCTTATTTATAAGTGTGGGGTGGGGGAATTTCGTTGTCGGTTGTACTTGTGAATATTATTTGTTTGTTTGTTCTTGGTTTTACTTTGTGTTTTGTGTTAGCTGTTTAGGAATGGAGTAGCAGTTATTGTGTTTTAGGAAGTCAAAAAAATGAAGCGACTTGTCCCGACGATGGATCTCTGTCGACGGGGTTCTTGAGGGACTAGTCGAGAAAAAAAAATTGGAAATATAAAGACTCTTCCTAATGACGGATTCTTTAGACAATTTTCTTGAGGGAAGCTAGTCTACAGAAAATACCAAAAAGATTTTTTTTATTTTTAGGTAGTGTAGTAACTCCCCCTTGGTTTTTCTTTGGGCCACGGTTCTTTTCCAAGGGTTTTGCTTGAACCGAATATAGGTAGATTTTTTTTAGGTTAGGATTAATGGGCGAAGAGCTGAAATTTGAAGAAGAAAAACCCTTAGCGTTCTTACACCTGAACACGATAGACGCTAGAGTGTAGCGCTTAGCTTCAAGGGTTGAATCTTGTTTGAGTGCCTTAAAAATTGTATGTTTGTGCTTAACTTGAACACTCGAAAGAGAGTATCTTGATAAACTAATCGGGAGTGAGTCATGTGCCAAGTGAGTGTGAGTATTGTTTGTATTCCATGTTGTACATTTGATGCCTAGAACTTGCCCTGTGTGTTTGCAAAGCGAAATAGTAGCTTCATTCAGTTTTAGAAGTGATATAGGCATTTCTTTGTTGAGCCAGAAAAAAAAATTTTTTTGAACCCACCTGAATGCATTACATCTTAGTTAACCCCGTTGAGCCTATAAGCCTGTTTCTTTGGCAACCACAATGTGAACCTTACCCAATTGTTTGAATAGCCTGTTGTTTGAACCAGTTTTCCTCCCGCTCACTAAGCACTAGAATGGTATTGAGATTATGCAAAAACAAAAATGTGGGGTGGTGATTTGGTTTTCGAAGTGGAACCATGGAAATAGAGAAAAAGGTGCGGAATGTGAAGTGTAAAAGAGAAGCACCACGAAAAAAAAAATTCATACATTTTGTAGTGATTAATAAGTGGTAGCTAGTATAAATTGCACCTAATGTACGGGGATATTTAAATACGGTGGAGTGTTGGCTTACAAATGACGAGTTTGAAGTTCAATGTAATTGTATTAAAAGTGCTTAGGGAGGTTAGTCACTATATCTAAATGTATCCTACCGGCCCCTTAGCCTACATTACAACCAAATAAAGTCCTATTGATCTTAGACTGAGTGAGGCTCGATTAGTCGAGTACTACACTAGGGGCAAGCCTATGGTGCGTCTTTGTTGCATGTGAATGTTTCTTTTGGAGAGTGAGTGAATTCTATCTATTTGAGTTCCTAGTTGTATCACTATCATTATATACATGGAACTACTCTCTTGTGTGATGTGAGGGCATGTGATTCACGAAGGAAAGGTGCGTCTTGACTATTGTATAGAGTGGTTGAGTAAGTGCAGATGTTGCAGGGTACGAAAAACTTGATTCTTGAGGTAAAAGCTGCTCACTACTAGGTGTAACTCTTGCAAAATGTTCATGGTGTGAGTCGTTGAGGGAAAAGCATAGGGAATGACTTTTTATGGAGTGTGGTGGATTGCTCGAGGACTAGCAATTATTTAAGTGTGGGGTGTTGATAATAGGCTATATAGTTGTTATTTACGCCATAA